CCTTTCCTTATGCCCCGATAAAAGAGATACAAATTATAGTCGATGACTTGGGGCCCTAATCGAATGACTATGAATGAATGAATGAATGAATGAATATGTAGAAAGATTGGCTTCGTCTCGTTTCGCTTAGAGTTATTACATTCTTTGATTATTTTTTATCCTTTTATGGGCATTTTTTTAAACAATCAAGAAAATTCTAGCTTTTTAGAAATTGTCACCAAACGCAGGGTTACGTTGTGACGTTTGCTTCAGTTATTTGTCAAAGACTAGCAATATTTAATCAGCGAATATTGCATATTTCGTAAGTGTTTTCTTTCGTGAGATACCCCAAGCCTTACGAACGCGATGAAGATCAAAAGCAAAAGTCAAGCAAGCTAAGGAGCAAGCAACCCTCTTGTTGTATATGAGCAGCAAGCAGAAAATAACTGGAATCCTGGCACAACACTTGTAGGCATACCCAGACGAAGCAACTTCTTTAAAAGCTCTCATAACTATGGAATTTTTCTAAAGATCTTGAGTTTGTATCAATAAACGGCTTAAGTTTATAGAATATAGAGTCCCCGAGTGACTCTTTTCAGTGATTAAAATTATAAGAATAAGTTTCTCATGCTCCGAAGTATAGATTCATTTCTTCATATATTTATATATATTGCCTTAGGTAATCCATTTTTCATTGCCTCTTATAATCCTGTTTAAGAAAGACTCGATTTTTACCAGTAAGAGCAGACTAATGGCGATTGACGTGCGATCTTCTTTAATCCGTTCACTCCTAACTCTCTGACTTTCCCCTAATTTTTATTTCTGCTGGTATTTAATATTTCTGCTGTACCCCTTGATGATTGGCGTAGATTTTACTCCATCATTGCCTTTAAAAGGTGGCCGTCAAAGTCGGAAGAAAGTCCCGCTCGGTTCGTCTTTTAAGGTCGAATCGCCGGAATGGAATTTTACAAACCATTTTCGGTTATCAGTCCTTCACCGTGTACCCTGCATATTTTTTCAGCTGTCGCCTTAGCGCTAGCGCCTTGAGTAAATTCCCAAACCATCACATGTCGAATATGTACATGTATGACTAACTGAATCCTCATCTATGTAGTAGAAACGAAAACACGTTTGTGTGGGTAACAACAATGGATTCTACCTACCTGCACCGACTCTTACTTACTGATAACTCGATCTAATATAACAAAATGGTCGATGAAGTTATTATGTGCTTATCATCAAGCGATAGAATCTATTTGCCATTTTTCTCGATATTATATGACATTTAGCCAATTCGGTTTCTCGTCCAAACTCCAGTCACAAAAATGTATAATAATAACCGTGAAATTTTCTTCTCTTATCTGCGCGAAGAAAATTTCAGTTTAACTTTTGCTTTCTTAAAAGTCCTCTTACTTCCAATAAATACATATATATATCATTTAAAGAAAAAACCTATACATATATATATATATGTTCTTTCCTACTTGAGAGTGCATACAATATCTTTGGAGTACATGTCTTTCTTCCTAGTTGTGGGTGTATACAGTGAAACTTTTCTACATACTTTATCACTTGGCATACTTGTCAACTCAGATTTGTTATTGAATTTTTTATGTTGTAACAACGTTCTCTTCTGATAAGAGCGATTCTTACATCATTAATGAGCTTACAATTACCATAACTGTTTGTGAAACTGTTATTGTTGTTATTGTTGCTGTGTTGATTCATTTAAAATTCCATCGTTGTAAGTTGGTTGCTGGTTGTTGCGGTACGATATTAAGGGTTAATGTGTAAAATGAATTTTTTCTTTTCCGATTTTATGAAATAACAACCGACTAAGAAAGACAATCTTTCGCGACATTAATGAATGTGAGAATCATCTCATCGGTTGGTTTGTTGTAAAAGAAAAACTTCCAAGAAAATTTCTTTTCCCGCTAAAAACAATCAATGTATAAAAGCGAATTTCATACTCTCTCCGAGCTAATGATTGACTTCTTATTACCTGATTATTGAAAAAGTGAAACCCATTTATCGCTTGCGGCCCTTTGCTTTGGGAAATTCATATGTCATAGCTAAAGTTAAAGGGAACAACGACAATCCTATGCGAAATTTAATTCTCTCTTGGAACTACCCTACCGAATACGTAAGGAATTAAGTTTCCTCAACCGTTTAAGATACTTAGTAAATGCCGGCTCATATCCCAACACTTGCACAATATAATCCCAGCACATTTACTGCTTTTGAAAGTTAGACAACTGAGGCGTTTTACGCAACAGATCCTTCTCCTATCTATCAGAGATAGAGTTTCTCTTCTAAACAATGCATAGCAATATAAGGAAATTTTTGCTTCTCTTCTCCTTGGATTGCCTAAGAAGTTCCAACTTTTGCTGAAAGGTAAACATTTAATCGCACGCATACTACAAAACAATTGACATTAAATATGATTTATTACTTTGCTCCTCATTCATAATACGCCCTTGGTGAACTAGGAGGTTTCCTTTGGCGCAATGTATCCGCTCATCAAACGGTGTTACGACTACTGGTTTACCCAAACTTTTTTTTTTGAAGCACTTGCTATAAAAAAATTCTCGACCGATTCGCGAACAAACCCTCAAGGTAAACGCGACCAGGTTACCAATATTACGATAAGCTTTAAGTTTCCTAGTCCTAGTTTAAAGAGATAAATTAAAAGTGAAGCAATTGTTGAATGCTCATTAACTATAACTTGGCAGTGTCGGCATACAGGAAAAGTCATCGACTCAACACAGCAAGTGAGAAGCAACAAACAAGCAAGCTTTGAGGAGGCAAGACTAACATAATTCCCATCTTTTTTTTGGGGAGGAAGATATAATGTTTTGTCATTCTGTGTCTCGGCATCTGAGAGTCCACTATGATTATTGCATAAAGCATGTATGGGCTTGAGTCTTCTTAAGTTCTATATCGAGTTCTCTTAAATTACAAACAATGCTGTGACTCCAAGTAAATAGTTTGCTATACTAAGCTTATCACATTTTTCAAGGCAACTAACTATATAAGAAGCATATCGTAATCCGATAAGCTTAAGGCTAAATACCTTCGTAGATGCCTTTTTCCGCAAAATGATAACAAAACTAAGATAACTGTATTTTGGTTAGTAAATGTAGAACTTGTTACACTATATATACGACGTACACTATGATGCATGTTCTTCGTTCTCGTTTTTGAGCTGTCATATCTTTATAAGCCAGTAAAATTCTCGACACAACAGACGCCCGCATGTAAGCAGCACTAGCATTGCATTTACCATCATTATAACTTGGTACGTTGTGCTCGAATTCACACTCACACTCACAAGGCTCGAATCTTTGCAGTTGGTTAGTATAATGTTTGTAGCGTGTGTTTTTAGATTGCGCCTGTCTGTCAGTGGATGCTGTTTGCATATATATATAGATATGTAAGCGCGGAAATATTATTGCGTGTTTGCTAGTTTGATGGTCTTGAATAATTGAATAAACTTTTGCGTAATAAATGTTCTCACCAATGACAATCCAAAATGTTAAATGGGAAAAAATGTTTTAAATTTGATATTCAAAGGTTTTGTGAACGCTTATCTGTGTTTGTGTGTGTGGGTGTGAATGATTTTCATTCGTTTCGTTACTTTAGTCTGTCAGTGGCAGATATAGAAATTTTTTCATTCATATAAATGCAATTTGTAGTCAGTCTATACATATATATATATATATTACTCTTCGTGATCCCTTGGGAGAATAACGAAATTTATTGCCGGGTTTGCAATTTCTGAGATATGCCAAAAACAAAAACACTTTAAATGTTAAAAGCGTTACTTAAACGCTTCTGCTACTTACTACGAATAAAAATGTGAGAAAATTTCAAAATGTGATACCCTTCTCAGTTATTTGAAAAGGGGGTAAATCTAAACTCGGTTCACTGCTTGTAAACAAACGTACGCAACATTTCATATACATTTTACAAACTTTTATCAAATTTTTTTGGTGCACCAACATGAAAACTTCTGATCGATATTTCGAGAACTTGTGTATAACCGATCGTGCAGAAGTTTCGCTCAGACCATTTGTTCCGATGGTACTACAACGCAATCTAATCTTTTTTTTACGCATATTCAAAATCGGAAATTATCTTTTTCCTAATAATTCCCTTGATATTGGTATTAAAAAAAAACAGGGTCTTGGAGAATAAAATGCAACGCATAGTTATTGTTAATTTCTTGCCTGTCTTTTGATGATTTTTTCCCATGAAAAAGTTATTTATTGGGTAAAAGTGACATTTTCCACCATTTTCCACAAATTTTTTCCATTTCTCAGGCCGCATAGCAATATCGTGTCGAAAGAACAATATTGTTTTGGCAGCGATTCGATTAACGATCCATTTTCGCACTTCTTCGGAGATTTCGAAATCGCTTGCCAACCAAGCCATGCTTTATCGATCTGAACAAGTGGTAACCAGAACGCCTCATAGCACTTACGAAAAGCAACACTAAGCGAATATGAAGAGTCTTTGCTCACAAAATAAAGAATTGGATGGGGAAAGTTAGCCAAGCGGCCAGAGCAAGTTAAAATCATTGTAGAGACAAAATGGAGGCCGGTTGAAACCCATCATTTTCTCGATAAATATGTACGGGATAATGTTTTCGCAGCGAAATCAGATTGTGTTGCTTGAAAGTTAGATTTGTTATAACATTTTCTTGCAGGTTTCTTAGGTAGCACAGCTGTACAGATGCCATATAGACATGCATGTCTTTGGACGTGCTAAATAAATCGTACTAAAGCAAGATATATGTTTCTTCTCTCTCTTAATCGAGAAATGTTACTTTAGGTATCGTATTCTCAAGCCAACATAAGCAACAGTTTACTTGCATTATACAAATGGTATAGTGAACATAATAGGTGGGGGTTATAAACGGGGTGCCCTCCGAATGAAAATTCAATTTCTAAAAAAAAAATTACTCGATTACAATTAAAACATAAATTTTGAATTCTTGTTTTTATTTTTTTTATTTTTAGGGCCAAGCATTGGAGGTTAAATCATAGAACGAACCATTTTTTTCAAATAATCAAAGCGAAAAATTTTCTAGGTAAGAAAAATTTAAGCAAAATTTAATTTTTTAACTCTTTTTTTTAATTTCAATGTCATTAATTAATTGTACTAATTACTCTTGAAAAATGTAGTAAACACATGCAAATGCCAGAATACAAAAACTTGCTTTATAGGGTAAAAGTAGTTGAGGATAAGATCGTGAACAGAACTAAACGGTCAAGATTTCCTACTAAGCGTTTAACTAAGTATTTACGTGATGTTGCGTGTGTTACGATTCGAAATGTCATTTTCAGTCAATACGTGCGATAGTCATATTCACTACTTTTGGATCTTTCCAATTATATGTAAACGTCCGTTCGAAAGTTCTTTTAAAATTTTAGCTAAGTTTCCGTCTAACAAGTCTTGCAATTCATTATATTCGAATGTTTTTGGTCCTTCAGGCCATTCTTTGCCATTAGCATTTTTTAACGGTTGACACCATAAGCTTCTAAGAGTGTTTGATAAGCTTTGGCAGCAGATTTCTTCAAATAAAACAACAAAACTACTGAATATCGAAAATGCAATTTTGTGCGGCCCATAGTTCGGGTCTATATACACTAAACAACTTAATAAAACTAAGTGGAAAAAGTGTCATTTTACATACGGAAAAGACGAAATACTCTAACTGAACTTTGCATTAGGCTATCATTCAGACTAATAGATGTCGCTGATCAGAATACATGCATGCTTGTATTATATAAAATTTTATTTTTAAATAACCTTTTATTTTAATGAAGTACATGTGCATATATTACATAAAATAGTCTGGCGACGTTTAAAAAGAATTGAATTTTTTCACATTAGTTTTTCTAAAAGTGACGCCATATTTTCACTTTTTACTTCATTAAAATTCATAAGTCGGAAAATTTTATTCTGTCGTGACCGAATCTTTTATACCTATCACCATTATCCGAAAAGAAAGGCAAAAAAAGTAAAAGAACTACATTTTCATGTTACATAATGTGGAGTGGGCGCGGCGGATTTTTCCGATTTTCAAAATAAAATTTTTTACGCACATAGGCGTGTGGTCGCTTTAAGGATATCCTTTGAAAAGTTTGCGTCACTTCCAACCTCGTTTGCAAATTTGCAGGCGACGTCTTCATTTTGGCTAACGAGACCATGTTTACCATAAATACTAAAAAAGTTGCGCAGATAGACAGATGGACAGACGCACATGTTTGGGTGCAAATTTGAAACTGGCCAAGTAGTTATATACTTTATGGGGCGTATGGGGCTTCTTTCTGCGCCTTATAAAGGTATTGAAGAAAACATTTAATTTTGATGCATTACAATATTTAGTAGGCAGAGTCAATTTTTTGTGAAACGGCTACGACATAACCCATAGAATATGCGTTCAAATTTTTATAGATTTATCTGCTATAGTTTATGAGTAATGAGCAAGAAATCAATTTGTTATTCCTTTTGGGAAACAGGGGACTTCTCTTTTATATAGTGCTGTGAACGCGTCTTTCGATCGATCTGGATTTTGAATATTAACTTTCGTGCAGGAACTTCAAATGGTTCATTTTTGCGGTCAGCAGAATGTTTACAACAGACATTGTATGGATGGACAGACACGCAAACAGTCGGATGGACAGACGGAAAGACGGACATGCTTAAATCGATGTAGAATTTGATGTTGCAAATAAAAAAAATATATATATATAACAAAAAAATAAATATATATAAAAATAATTGCCTCCATTTTCAAACTTCGAGCCTGGCGTAATGATCATTTGCGGCGGACACGTTTTGCAATTTCCTTAAAGAAAATCTTGATGGAGTTTTATATGTAAAAAAAGCTTTTCATATTCACATGGTCATCGCATAGTCCAGTGGTTAGGATATCGACCGTAATCGCAAGTCCTGTTAACCCTTCAGGCATCGAAGACAAAAGATTGCAAGGTCGTCACGAAATCGTTGCAAGCAGCTGTTTAAGTAGCTATAGCAGGTATATATTTGACATATCTTATAACCCATGAGCTGCCATATTTGTCATTCATCTCACGCTCCGTCATGTCACTTACATGGCCACTCACTTATGTTGTATCTGCTGATATGTGTCTTTTCTTCTGAAGTTAGTTGTATTCCTTCTTCGTTTCATAATTGCAAGTGTACTGCGTAGCCATTATTTGCGGTGTCCGCTGCAGACATCCAGCAGACATAGAGTCCACAATATACTCTCAAGGAGGTTGTAAATACCAGCTTGTTGACCATGTTCAACACCGTAAAGCTTAAGACGGAAAATCTTAAAGGTGCCCTCTGTGAGTTAATGTCCAAATTTGTTTTTATCTAATTAAAACCCTTTCCATATGGTGACCGTCACCAGAAATAAGTGCTTCGAACTTTTTTATCAACGTATTCGATGCCTAGGATACTCAGCCAGATATGACAGAATAAAATCCTTGTATACCACAAATAATTATTAGACAGCTGAATAATTTTTAAACTTTCGTTTAATACTGTTGGACTTAGAAAAACGATTTAGGTTACCCTTAATCGCAACCAGCATCATTTGATACTTGAGCTGAAGAGCTAACATAGCATTATTGCTCTTACAAGGCAATTAAATGGCCAGACCTGTAATATGATGCCGTTTAAATAGAGTCACCCATTCATGCTGATCCAAAAAGTCTAGGCTTCAGAGAATATTTGATATAAATATTTCCAAGAAACTTGACAACGAATAACAAAAAGCCATGAACTGAAAAACTCTCTATAAAACCAAAGAAATTTTCGTCTTAAGCGTACACACTTCTCTTGCCTCGTTTTACTAAAGTATTTGAAGTATTGAACAAAGTCTGAATTGCCATTATTTTCATGTAGATGTAATTTCGGTTGAATTAACGCCTAATTCCTTTAGATACATATATAGATGTATAGGTAATGCTTTACTAATGTATATGCTGCATATGCATTGCAACATACATACATTCAATAAATAATGTTTCTGAGCAAAAAAAAAAAAAAAAAAATTTTTTTAAAAATTAAAAAAAAAAAAATAAATAAATAAAAACTATTAATCTAAAATGAAGCATAAATCACACTAAATTAAACTTATTTGAAGGTATTATAATAAAAAAGAAGAATTATTTACAGAATAAATTTGCTGAATAAATCAAGCGTTTTTTACGAACGCGTAAAATTTTTTCATTGTCACTTCTTCACCATTCAATTATGACGATCTGCTTTAGTTTTTCATCTTGTTTGCAACTTGGAATAATTATTATATAATTAATTAAAATTTCCAGTTTCAAGTTGAATAATAATATATTCCCTGCGGCCGTTTCCCCATAATATTAATACAAATCCAAATAAATCCTACTTTAAATGATCACTATATTAATATGAAATTGTTGTTGTACGTACATAGATAATTTCTTCGCTTGACCTGTAAAAATTTCGTAAGAAACCTTGAGTCTATTTCTTGACCGTAGCTAACTTCCACATGCCGACAATGACGACGTAAGGAAACAAGGCGATGCTTGGAATTTACTTATGTCCAAAACCTTCAATGATGGAAAGACCAATTTTTGTACAGGTTTTCAAAAACTCTTAGAAATCAATTAGAGATGTCGTTGTTGACCTAAGGGTGAGTTAGCAGATTAGATTAGATCATCAATTACTAACCACATTATTTTTCCCAGCATCACATTCGAAGTTATCGTAGTTTTCAATTCATACGAGAACATTCTCAGCTGTTTCCCATGGTGTTTAAATGTTGTTGTTACTTGCTGAACGGTTGTTGAAAAGTTGGAAGCAATGTGTCCAAAATTCGTCCAAAGTCATACATAAGTATTTTAGTTAAAGCATTTTTTTTGTTTTTACAAAATATGCAATGAAGTTATTTTGTAATTTGTTATCAATGTGGCTGCAGCAAACAGAGTAGTTGTTGTTATTTGCATAATTATATGTTGCATAAGCATGTCAGCAGCGCTCACGCAGCGTTGTAATTTTTTCTTTTCAATTTTTTTATTTTATTTTATTTTTATTTTAATCTTTGAGTCGGTTTGTTGTAGTGAAAGAAGAAGCAGACGAAAAAGAAGAAGAAATGAATCCTTTCCTTAAAATCAAGATTTAAGTTTACATTATCCCGTTCATATATACTAATTGTTAGTCAAGTTGCAAGTTTTGTTTTTTCTTTGCTTTGTTTTTCTCATTCTCGTCTGTCTATAAACAAATTTTTTGATAATTTTATTGCCTTTCTCTTTTCTTTCTCGTTTCTTTTTTCTTTGAAATATAATTTTGAAAAATTCCCGATGAGACAGACAACTTAACGAATTGTACTAATATCAATGGATCGCTTAAAAGTTGGAACTGTGTTTACTTTGCCCTCTTAGCCCATTTTATGCAATTTTTACCTCTGCTTGTAGATTTTATATCATTTATGGCCTGAAGTTTTCAATTTTTGATCTATTGCTGCTGTATTTAGCGGTGCGTCCTGATTTTTCATCACTCTTTAGTTATAGTCATCGCAAATTTTTGAATTGAATTTTTTAGACCGATATCTGCTAAGAATTGTAAACTATAGTGTTAGCGGTTTATATAACTTAAAAGATCTATCGCTTAGTCAACTAGTCGGGAAAGGTGTTAGCTTTTCGTCTCGCGAACGCGAAGAGTTTGGCAAATAGTCGGAGAGATTCTAATCGATTTAGAACGAATATCTATTATGGACTAACGAGAAAATCGAACGAGAACCTTCTGCTTTGGTTAATCTAGCAAAATTTCTTTCTCAATCAGTAGCCATTAGTTGCTGCCACAGTTTGGATTAGTAGCGCGTATGTTTACAAAGTCTTCGACAAATGAGGCTACAAAGACTGCCAGAAGCTTGAAAAGGCTAAAAGTAGGCTACTGGTCCCTTCTTAATATCTCTACTTACGAAGCTTGAAAATACTAAAAGCTGGCAATGAGTCCCTTCTTAATATCTCTTCTTACTGAGCTTATGTGTGCGGGAATTTCTTTATA